TTTTTTTTTTTTTTTTCTAATTTTTTCTTAGATTTATTACCCGTAACCTGAGTCTGGGATATATTATTTTTTTGTTTTTCTACATATTTGAGCGCACAAAAACGATCGAAAAAAAAATAATATTTCCGATGTTTTACCTGCATACAATATTGTTAAACATCGAATAATCATTCAATTAAAATTTAATGTGGATCAAAATAAAAGTATGTATTATTATAGATACCGTAGATATTTATTATTATAGATACCGCAATCTTTCTTCGACATAATTTGTATGATGCGATCGAAATTCTACGTTAATTATGATATCGTGTTCAAGCTAACATGTGAAGTTGAACATTCAGCCTAAATTTAAAGATCAATGTGCACAATAATAACATTATAAACGAATAATTTCACTGAACTACGAGTTGATGACGATATGTGTATAACTATAATATAATGCAGTGGGTACGCATACCCTTTGGGGGTACTCGAGATTATTTAAAATGTATGAGTCTGGTTAACAAACCTTTAAATTTAAATTATTTAAATGGAAAAGGTTATTCAAGTTTTAAAGCAAATATAGAAACAAGTTAAATGATGAAGATGATTTAAGATTGTATTTAACTAAATTAGAACCCAATATTGATGAATTGTGCCAATAAAAACAAGCTAACCCTTTCCACAATTTTTTTTTTTTTTAAATTAATATCTTTTTGTTTTTAACATTTTTTGTGTGAGTTTTTAATGAAATAAAAATGTAATATTATAAGTTTTTAAATTGTTTTATATTTATTTAAGTTTTTTTTAACTAAGAAGGGGTACTCAATAAAGTTTATTGATAAAAAAGGGTACCTACAGTGTTTACAAAAGTTTAAAGATCCCTAATGTAGTGTATTATATTCGTGGAGGAACAAATGCACTAGCAATATTATGCGTCATCGTAGACTTATTATTAGACAATGCAAATTTATCGAGTAACAAGCGTGATATTTTGTACATTTCAAGTAAGCGTTACTATTTATCTCCCTTCCCCCGCCCCGAAATAAACGAAATGATAGAGCATATTTCGCGGTACTATTTAGGCCGACGACGTGAATCGGGTGTGATACACTGTTATTAAATATTTGTCCAAAGTTTCGCTGCGCCTTTGGAAAACACCAAGTCCTCAATACGTTTAAATATAAATATAAATACGAGTATATACATATATTAATATAGTTCATATGCGTAATACATACTCTCCAGTAAATGTCATCGAAGGCAATAAAGTTTTATTTATTTATTAACTTGTAAAGGATTCAAAGAACACACATACATACATACGACTCCCTTTGCTTCAGTTGGGTTATACGCCACGCGTATATATGTATAATAATATATATATATATAACGCTTCGGGGATTTCGCTGTTGACTTTTATGCAAAGTCAATTAATTGTGTTTCGCATACGATATCTAAACCTTAACGAAAACCATATACACATGCGATTGCCGCCACGACTCAACATTGGAGTACTCATTACATAAGTGCTGGCCAAAAATATTGTATGGGTTTATGCAGTTGAAATTAGTTTCAAAATATTATTAAATTATAGTTTTTTCATTTTTAATGCATTAATAGATTGATTAAATTTCTGAAAAATCACACATTAGTCAAAATTCTCATCATCCGTTTCGTCGTCTTTTTTATTATTTTCTGTTTGTGATACGTGGTTTAATGGTTTAATGGCTTCAGAAGAAAACATTTCAATGTTTTCGTTGAAAAAGACTTATTTTTTTCATTTTTTTTTTTTTTTTTTTCGTAGATTAAAATTGTGTAGTATAAGATCAATCTTATACTACTTAAAAATTTTTATAAATTTAACAATACTATTTTTTTAAATTTTGTTATTACAAAACTCTCAAGAACATTTTCTTGAACAATTTTCTCTATAAAATTTAAATTGTTTATTCCTTGTTTCGGCAGCATTCTCAGATAATTTACCTAATGGTATTATCGTATGCGATATTACTGTAACCCAATGGATTAATATGTTGTGTAAGGAGAATGATATTGGATGCCAACCATATAATTAAGCATAGATATTTACTGTATCTATCTGTGATACATTCTTCAAACTTTTCCATGTTTATACGTGACCATTTGATATTGCTTCTAGTATATTTTAAAACATTTTAATTACGTTTACATCTATTTCAGTGGTACGTGCATTTGATCTGGATCAATAAAAAATCTTCTTAATGTAATGCCTTTTTTACTTTTTAAATTATTAAAGTTTTCGATGTTTCTCCGCATTTTTAAAACTTAGTGGAAAATATACTTTTTACAGTATACTTTTTACAGCATTGCGAACTTTATTTATATGTTTAATAGGAAGTAAAACCCCACTTGCAGTTAATATGATGGTTTTATTCAAACTGCTTACTTTTTTTTCTATAAACTGAATATTTTAATTTATTATAACTTTTGTTTCGTGTAAAAAACGAACGCATATTAATCAACAATATCTTGTAGATGAAAGAACTGATACTGTCTTACAATTTATTATTGATGATCAATATTGCATATTAATCTCAAGGGGACAAGAGAACTTTGGAAACGTTTGCATCACTATTCTCGTTGCACTGAAATATCTGTTTGGACTATGCCTGTTGAGAACGTTGTACGGTCACACTCAAGTAAAGTAAAAACTAAATGGCGTGAATCGGCGGAAAACTGTTTTTTACATATATTGTATTTAGTGTCTATATTATACATAAAAACAAATATTTTCGCTCGGCAGTATCCGAAATATATAGATTCAAACACAAATAATAATAATTCCTTTATAAAATTGCGTAAATATTTTGAAATACATAAATGAAATGTTAAATTGCAATTGGAAAAAACTATACTGCATTGAAACTCCTAAATATCAACCCATCTACTACTCTAAAGATAATAATTATTTTAAATAACTGCCAAATACTAAATATTTAAACACACACTGAATATTACGTTGTATGCGATAAACGAAACAACAAAATGTAAAACAAGCAATAATGTACTTTAAACACACTATTTAGCAAGCCATCAGAACAGTGTTTGTAAAAGGTTTTCTTTTTATCTCGTTGTACATCTAAAACTTAAAGAAAATTAGTGTTGTCGTAGTTTAAAACGCTATTATTTTTATTTTTATTTTAATTTTGGCCAGATTTTCTGTATAAATAAACTCCACTGTGGCGACATCGATTTTCCCGAAGATACCTACGTATATTATTATGTGTACCAGCTCCTATTTATTGGTAAACCCGGACACAAAGTGTGCAGTCTGAAACTAGAACTATGTACTACGGATTCAAGAAGTGTGAATCTAATAAATACCAGTAAATAACACTACAATGAAAGTGTTTTTCAGGAAGCCAGTATAAGCGAGACAGCTGACGAGGTCTTAAATATATCTATTAAATTTTAAATTATATACCGCACATCAAAATAAAGAATTTGTAAATAATTTTCAAATTTATATCAGACAAAATTATGTTTTCAATTTAAAAAATTGTTAGTTATCTAATTATAATGTGTAATTTGGAGTAGGAGTATGTCAAGCTAGCCATTTGGTATTATCATTATAAAATGTGCATTGGAGCGGCGGGTATAGATGGACTGAATATTGAAACATTTCTATTATATTTCTGATGTCTATACACTTACAATCGTTGTAATGTGCATATGCATTAATGCACTAAATAATTAACATGTATGCATTGAAAATCATAAAATATGCAATTTTTACTAAAAATTAATAAAACAATTATTACGAATCGTTCCCCGTCGATTACATCGATTGATGTTTGATTGCTTTTTCGTTAGTAATTATTAGCCTCTAAGGAATATCATCAGTTACTTCCATTGTGTTCTCGAAAATGGATAATGCCACAGTGGAATTTAAATTCAATGCGCGCAAAACAATAATTGGAACGTGAACACAGCTAAACACTTTGGCAAATACTCGTATTCGGGTGTGTTATTAGTTCGGTACGACCGGGCAGACACAGCCGTTTTAGAGTTATTTGATTTCTATATAAGCTATGCGGACTTTGTAGTAATGCTAAATAATAATAAACAAATACGACGTGCGATAAAATTTTACTAGTGGTTTAACCAATATATATATATATAAGCTAGAAGTTACACACAAAAGTAAACGTATATATAAAACCGATTTTTCCTATTTGTTGAGTTAAATCGGCAGAGAGTTAAAGCTGATAAAATATACCCGGTTTTATTGAAGAGAAGAAAAAAAAATTCTTAGGTGGATTGACGCCAAAAGGATTTTATGTTCATCGGAGCGCTACATTATTTATAGAGAAGTCAATAGTGTTATAAGATTGATCGGATTCTACGCCATATACGGCGTGTCAAGTATGCAAGACAATAATCGTAAAACGACTTCCCCCTCCCCCGGTCCGTCGTTATTTTTCAACCCTTACACGTGACGTACTCGCCACGTTTAACCGTATATGCAAATATCGCATAGGTGTGTTGTATTACGTCCGTCATTATAATGTAGCAATTCGCACGGCGTACATTGTTGTATTCGCGCGAAAGAAAAACCGATGGAGCGCGAGTGCATTAATAATCAATTGATATTTCACGGTATGGAAGGGAAATGTACCGTTTAACCCATTCGCGTTCATTCCGGGGTAGAATCCGATACGTATTTCAGGTCACACATCTTATGGTCCTCAGTTTCGTTTTGTATACGTATGCGAAACATAACGATTACAGTACGTTGTTGATCACGCAAACGATGCGTAATGTTCATCTTAACTGGCGCGAATGTTGATAATAGTAATCAATAGGCTGATGGCCGGTCTTCGACGTTCAATCGTTCTCAATTCGCCGTTCTCGATCGACGACATTTCCCTTATGCATTCCATGTATTGTCTAAGCAGTAGCCGCGCAAGTCTACTAATGCTGCGGTTGAATATTGTACAGCGATGATAATCTATCGGTATTGTATGTTTTCACAGGAAAAAGCCGTGTTACCGATGCGTGGTCATTCACGAGAAACATCATAACGTCCTGCAGTACAAAGAAAGTAAGTCGCCGGGAAACGTTGACGTCTATCGCGCGATTGCGGGGTGGGTTTTTGGTGGTACGCAGAGATTTCGGTGCCAAGGAAAATCGGGTCGCCCCAAGTGTAGGTATACTCGTGTGGTGCGTGTGTGTGTGTGTGTGTGTGTGTGTGTATTGTACACGCGTCATGTGTACCGTACGCGAAACAATCGATGGAGATGTTTATCGGACCGTAAAACCGAACACAAGCGAATCAATTTGTATCGCCCCTCCCCTCCCAGTGCACGCGAGAACCGCAGCAGAGGAGAAGGAAAAGGAAAAGTCTACGTTTGTGCGCGTGTATGTGCACGCGCGTTTCCGAGGAAAAAGTTATAAGAGTAATGAAAGGATAAAGCGGGCGAATGTTGTATTATATACGATCGGTGGAACACGAGGAGATTGCGTACGCGTTGGCGGCGGGTCCGCGAAAACTGACGTTAATTATTGTTCATAGACCGTTTACCGTGCAACGGATTCTTTGTCTCGGCTTTCCCGTTTTAAACGAGTCGCGATAAATTATTATTAAACAATGAACCAAAACTTTATCCGTCGGTCCACGCACAAAACGCTTTCCAACAAGGCGCTCGCTGTTCGAACACCCCCGAACACTAAATTATAGTGATGCACAACGATGTAATATTTTTCTTTTATTCGATGTCGTTTTCGTTTTCGCGACAGTATTTTCATTAGAGATCGTTACAATATTTGAAACGATATCGGTGGGCGGGTTGTTACGGCTACGGTCTGTTTTATCGTAGTATTCGAACTATGGGTAATACATATTTCACTTCGAATCGAAGCGAAAAATAAATCTTTGCGTTCTACATTCATGTATTTTTATCAATAATTAATCTTGAAAAAAAAAAAAAAATTGTGTATCTGAATCACAATTACTATCCGTGAACGACGTGGACATACTTAAGTTTCGTCATCCGCGTAGCTTCGTTTTGCAAAACAAAAATATCAGTCGAAATCAAAACGACGAATACAGACCGGGCGTGCACATCAACGCGGTATATAGTTGCAACACTATTGTATCATAGGGTTGGGAAACGGTAACCCCCCCCCTCCGTATACCGTAAAAAAGGATTATTGTAACCGATTGCCGACTTTGCGTAGCTTTCTGCAACGAGATGGGTACACTGAAGACCATATGTCCACTGATTACCGGCGACGCTCTTCTGTACTCCATGTTCCGGGAAACGGGCAATCCCATGCAGTGCCCGTTCAAACCCCCGTACACGTTCACGTACAACCGTGGCCACGGCGACTGCAAAAATCCTGTTTCCACGGTGGAGGCTTGCACCCAGGATTCGAGGCTGCTGATCCGATACCAGGCGTGTCCCGACGTCGAAGGATCCGAGAGCGCGCGTCAGTATACATTATATTTATGCACATATTATTATTATGAATTGCAATCGTATTTTTGTATTCGGCATTCGCGACGGAGAAGTCCGTTGTGCCCATGAGAAGATGTTTGATTAACAAGTCTGCGCGTTTATTAGAACCGATTTCATTATTCGATTGTATCATTAGCATTAATGTTAGAGTAAGCCGACCGATATTGTTAAACTCGAAGGGAAAAATACCATCAGTGCGTATCGGTAACGTATTGTAGTCGCCGTCGTTTCGCCGCGAGTGCATTAAACGTATTAAACAATATCGTTACGGCACGCGGAAATCGCCTGTAGCCACGCTCGGCGAGGAACGACCCCGCAGGCTAATATTATTCAGATATCCGTCCGCCGACGATGATCACCGCGTTGCCCCCCCCCCCCCCCCGGAACCGATGCCGTGATACCCGGTAATATTTGCATTCCTTCCGGTCTCGGCTTCCCGCCACTATCGTACATGTCGTGCATACACTCCTCAATCGCTTCGTCGGGCACTCACTATCTTTTTCTCTATCCCTCTCTCCGCAAACGCTCGGACGGCGGCCGAATCACATATCCGCGCACCTCTCCGTAATTATTTGTGCCGCGACGATATCGATTGACGCCGCGAACAGTGTGCGGTTCTGTCAACGAGGAGTACTTTCGTAACCCTCTGGATTCCGGAAACGCGTCCGTTTCAGGAGACTCCGTGGCGCGGACCGTTTGTCAGCGACAGTGGCGTCGATCCCTATATCCAAGTATATGGCGACTGCCATAGTGAATTATGCGGTGGGTGGGTACTGGACGCTGGATAGGTGACACATATCTGGTCACCATGGTACCCATGGCCCAATGTGTAAAATGTATTATGAAAGTATTGAATACTATCAATTTTGAATACAATATTATGGTAGGGTTTCAGCCTCCTCCCCAACGTTTACATCCAATCGGTAGGTGGGTAGGTACTAATAAAATTTGATATTCACCATACTGCATTTTTTGTAGTTCGACCCCTCTGGTCAGCGATACCGTTACCGCGTTCGACCGGTCCCGCGTGCTACAACTGTGCACCTGCTCGCACCTTGAACGAATTTAATCGCGTAGCAAACCCGATTTGCCGTGCACGTAACGGCTTACGATTTGTTATCATTTACGCGCTGCGAATAACGCCCCGGAATAATATTACGTTCTCATCCATCGGATTTGTTTTTTTCTTCTTCTTCGAAAGAACCAAACGCGCGAAGTGTCCCGGGGGTCGTATAACGCGAGTGTACGGTACCTGCCGCTGTAATATATTCATAGCCCGTACTCCGCTGCAGTCATTAACGATACGGTTTAGAATGACTCGGCGCGATTTACGCGTAGAACCCAACGGCGCATTGCGTTTACACGTTTTGTACATGAACTTATCGTAACCGATCGATCGTGCATTTAGTCGAAGAAGTGGAATGCATCGCCGGGTGGAAAGAGGGTTCGTACAGATTCCTCGTGGGCCGCGTCCACCACAGCAACGGTATACCGATGTCGACCGAGGACCGGTTCAAGTGTTTCATATACGAGCGGACGACGTCCCAGAGACAACTCAAAGGCTCCGGCGTTTCCGGGGACGTTGAGTACAGGGTGGCGCAGTCTGGCGACGCCACGTGCAGCGGGTTGTTCAGCCCGCTTGAAGGATCCAGAACGATGATACTGAAAAAAGGTATGTCGGTTAGTAGTTGATAAACGGTCGCGTGAAATGTTTCGACGGAATCGCGATATCACTAATGTTATTATGAATTGTCTAGTGTTTATCGAACATATACAGGTAAAACCGTAGTATGATATGATACAGTGCTTGAGTTTAGAGGATGAGCGTCGAGACTTAATAGTTATGGTGAGATCATGATCGACAACGAACAGAGTAAAATGGTACGCGAGGGAGGGAACCATCGAACAGGTGATATGTGTGGAAATTTCGAAGTTTAAAAGGGAAATTAATTCAGGGAAGTAGATGGAAAAGAGATAAAAGGAAGTGTTGACCGACTCCTTCGGTGGATAATACTGGTAAGCTGGATGGTTTGAAGAACAGGAGAGTAGTCGTGTACACGAAGCCCGTTTGGTGTATTTTACTTTGCCCCGTACGTGTTCTCAACGCGTTTATGAAAAACTAAGCTCGGTTCGTATCTAAAACTGATAGCAGTTTAGTGAAAAACAAAAAAATAAAAAATAAAAACAGTTCGATTCGGGCGCACTGACCATATATATTTGATTTGTTCGTGTGCACGCGCAGAAACGTCGGAGACGAAGTGCACTTTCCCGCTGTGGTTGACCGAGTATCAACGGTGGCGGACGCTGGACCACGGCAAGACGTTCACGTTCCTGCACCACCACAACAACAGCACCCTGAAGCTGGTGTCCACCACTCTGGACCACGCGTTCACCACACAGACCATACAGACCTCGCACCAGTTCTTCTACAACCAGCCGCTGGTGGCGCCGCTGCCCGGGCACGAGATGAAGCTGACGTGCCAGCAGGAGATGGAAGTGGCGCCGTACCGGTTCACAACGATGGCGCACTACGTTACCGGATGGTGAGCAGAAGAGTATCAAGTCGTTGTGGTGCGCACGTTCAGCGTCCCTTTGGGGGAAACGACCGGCGGCGAAAACGTTGTCCTCTGCTATGTCTTACGTGAACGCGAATTCGCGGATGATGAAATCGTTTTGGCCGCATTCGCAACGTGTTCGACCTATTTGCGGCTGACCGTATTTCGATATTTTTTGATTTTCAACGTGCAGTGTGCTTTGAAGTGAGTCGTGCGGTAGACGTTTTAGTTATTCGAATTAAAGTCAACTAAAATTGTCATTGAATTCACAAAAAAAATTATTTACATTCGAAAGTACTGCACTGAAATATTTGTTGTATAAAAAATATTTGAAAAAAAGATGATCAGTTGTAAATTAAATTATTTACGAGGATAGACTTGTTTTTGATGAATTCTATCGCCTATAACTACGGTTGCGAAAAAATTGAAATTTCGTCCCGGTCTCATACTAAATTGACTACCGACACATTTTATTATATTTTAAAATTAATATTATTATACAATATTAATTAATGTGTATAATTTTATATTATAAAATTGTATAAAACTATTACAATAAACATCCGTTTCGAATACTTACGTTTATTCAACGTGCGACCAAAAGCAAAACGGTTCGATTTTCAAACCGTACGGCGAACGAAAGCGAATTAATTCGCCCGCGTTTATCGCGTACGTTGGACAATCTAATTTGTTATAAAAACACTATTTGTTATAAAAACGATTGATAGTTTTTCTCGCCGCGTTCACGTTTGGACCCGGCGTCACGTAGGACATGGCGACATAGCTCTCGCGGACGATTGACCCGCTGCGTATAGGGCGCGTCGGTCTTTCCGGCCGTTGGCCGTTCGTGAACAACACGATTTCCGCACCGCCGTAGGCCTCGTAAACTCGTATCGCGGAAAACGAGACGAGAACGATTTCTTCACGTTTCAGCTGTTCACGTTTCCCCCGGGCGCTTCGTTCGGTTTAACAGTTTTCGCTCGCCTCGCGAACGCCACCGCCACAACTCCGACCCGTCGGCGGACCATCTGATCGGTGTTTTGTTTATTATTTTATTTTTCCAGCCAAAGCGGTTACATTTGTCTGGACTTTCACCGCAGGGCCAACGATTTGGCCGAACTTCAAATGGGTAAGTCGTACTCACTGTAGTAAACGTACATGAGGGGGGTAGGACGTAACGTACGCTCATCAGTACACGGTTTTTGTTTTTGTTTGTTTTCTTTTTCCGCTGCACGCGAAATCAGGTCAGCCGAGTAGGAGACCGGAAGACGCGTGCAACCCGCCGAACTTCGATGCGCACGCTACGGATTCAATTACGCTAGTGGGTAAGTCGTTGATTACAAAAAAATATTCCAAGTGTTTGCCGAGCGACCGAGTGCAATTTCGCGTTAACCTTCTAAAACAAATACGGATAGACTACCGCGCGCGAAGCACATTGTGCAGAGAACGCGGTGTTCACGAGTAGCGCGCACAATGAATACCAATAGCGTCGTGGTCCGAAATCTAGTGAACCGTCGGGTAAGCGCGAGGCGGGGTGAAGTTATTTTATATTTATTTTTTTATTTCCTCCCCCATCCCTCTTCTTTTTTGCGTTCCATTACGATTCTAGAAAAATTGCTTCACCTATCGCTTCAGGATATATTTATATTTTTTAAATCCAATCTACCGTACAATATTTGAACTGCTTTCGACTTCATCGTCCGTACACAGTTATTGTATCGCGATTTTATTTCGTTTTCCAAAGTTATATTATGCTTTTTAATCAAACAACAGTGTTAGTTTGATTTTATCAAATGTTTCCTCGACTTTAAGTGTTATAACGATGTTCATTAAGCGAATCGGAAAACATTGAACGCCTTACCGGTGATACCTTTATAATACATAAATATTCAACATCGGATCGCGTACTATGATGAATAAATAAATGTTTTCACGTTTGTCTACAAATAAATTTAGTCGCATAATGTCAGTTAATCGATTCATACGCACCTAAATCGTTACGTCTCATTTAAAGGCTTTAATGCTGCAGTTCAATAACGTAATCAAAAAATAGTTACTTTGACCCTAATTTCATTTTTCCTGTGGAATCGAAATTGTTTATCGCTATTTTCTTTTTTCTTTAATTTTTATTTTTTCACATAATTACTTATCTAGTCAAACGCTCATACGGTTTTCAACATCAATAACATAATTCACTTATTTATTTTTAAACGTTTATACCAATACTATTATCGCGATGAATGTTTCAACTTTTTTTACGATACCGCGTTCTTGTACACGATACGATGTGGACAAATATTTGTTATTATTACATTTTCACGTTTTCCAGCGTCCAAGTCGGATTTTCGAAACTGCCCTTTTAAAGGTATCTATGAGATCAAGAAAGTCAGCAAGAGCATTTCGTGGAGCGACGTGTCTACGATATCCCAAGGCAATAACAATCCAAACGTGAGTTCTATAACCAACAATCGCGGGCGACTAATTCGCACCCGTTTTAATTTGGTCGAATCGTTTTTCCCATGAAAATTGTCTTAATCCGTTTCGCTCGCCCGCGCAGTTGCCGGTGGACCTACTGACGTCCGACATGCACCACCAGTCGCCGATGATGTTGACGTCCACCTCGCCGCCGTCGCCAAAACGCCATTCGTCCGAGCATTACGAGAAATCGTCGGACGATTGGAGCGTGGTGTACAAGAAGCTGCAGCCGGACCTGCCAAGCCTGGTGAAGTCTAGGAAGAACACGAGCAAGGAGTTCGGGCGGCTGTCCGAGTACGGCGACGACAGCGACGACGGTGAGGTGATATTACGCAGGGTCAAGCGGAAGGGCCAGCGGATCCTGAACAGCAAAACGACGGCCGAAGATGAATGCAAGTTGAACCTGACCTCGATAATGTTCTCGTGCGGGTCCGCGGACGCGTTGGAACTGGTGGCCGCGTGCCCTCGGATAGCGCACTTGCGATCAGGTACGGGCAAACCATGCATAATTATTATTATTCACATCGCGGCCGTAAACGGTTTATGGTCGCGTGTCGACCATTGATCAAATAAAATTAGCGGCGAAAAATTCGTATACAATTTATGAAAAAGTTACGTTTCACCGCCACCCAGGTTGTTACCCGTAATATCACTAACCCGGTTGGTCTGAGAACACCATGGCCCGCCTTGGTGGGCATTTCGAGCAAAAAAAAAAAAAAAATAAAAAAAATAAAAAAATCCCCCGTAATATTCCGGTTGACATTCGTGAGGAATGTCGGAGGAGGCGCTTTGGCCTCTCGTATTTCGGGCAATAACTCTCACGCGCCCAAATTTACGAAAATGTTACTTCGGTAGATTGTGACTTATAGTGGATGTCCATCGGTGCTCAAACTTATACGACCAACGCAATGTCTGCAGTGGTAAACTGGAGTATTCAAAAAATGTTGTTAATGTGTGATAAAACGTGCGATAACACCTGTTGGGTTGCCGATGTGACTTCCGGTGTTTTAAGTTTCACTGGAACAATACCCGGGTAGTGTTCGGATTCCGTGTGGGTTAGAAGCAGAACTAGGAACTTTTTCGTCTGGGAAAAATGTTAAAATCGTGCCCTATCATAGACCAAGAAACAAATACCAATTTGTTTACGGTACGCACGGGCTGCGATGTTTTGACAACCGTGTTACATGTCGTGGTGGATGCGCGTCATATCTGAAAGCGTTCCAAAACCGATCAATTATCGTTTTTGTTTATTTTGCAAATGCATTCCAATTGGTTTTCTTTTTCTTTTTCTTTTTCTTTTATCTTACAGTTTAAACACGGACTGCGATGTAGATGTTTTTTATTTTAATCATTTTTCGTACTACGATTTCTAATCGATTGATTGTTATTAAAGTTTATGGAAAATCCCGAACAATCCTAGTATAGGATTTTTAGGAATAAAAACAAAGAAAATATTTAAATTAATCGTTTTCTTACTTATGAGTAGCTGTTTTTCGTAATTTAAATTTAATTAAAATTGAAAAAAATTGAAATTTATTATTTGTTGTATTTTTATTTTTATTTTTTACTTTTTATTTAACTACACTGCTTTTATGTTAGGTACTATATAAATTCATATCAAAGCAAAGTTTTAAAATTAATCGTTTGAAAAAATATATCCATAATACATAATATTTCAGGTAATTTGTATTCTGAAAATAAAATATAATTTTAAAAACGATTAATCGTATTGTAAAATAATTATGTATAAATAAATAAGCAAATAGTTAATATAAATAAATAAATAAAACCTTAGTTTAAAAAATAATATCAGATTGGTTTTTAGTTTAACTAATTATAATGTGCAATTCGATTAAAAAAAAGAACTAATACTAAAAATTATTACTGACATTGAACTAAAAATTATAATCATATGGAAGGGGGTAGAGAGGAGCTTTGTATCATATAATTGTGTATTAAAAAATGTGTAGTACGAATTTTTATGAAAAATAGAGATTGGCTACAAAAAAAAAAAAAACTCTATACCTAGTACCATAAGTATGTTAACACAAGCCTGCTTTTTACGGCCAATGACCTATGTCGTCGAAGTCTTTACTCAAAATAAAAAAGAATACATTATGCATTCGTGTGAATTATCGTCTGCCACATAGTTCATTGCTTGTCAATTACAAAATTAATGTATCGTCAAATATAATTAATTTATGTACAAGGAATTCGACGAACAAATACATGATTGAATATTTTCTATAGAACTGAAATGCGTTTTTTTTATGAAATTTAATTAGTTTTCAAAACAATTACACGACCAATATAATACTGAGAAAAACAAAATACTTAATAAGTCACATTTGATATATTGAAATAATCGGTTTTTAAAATCATAACATACTGTGTTTTTACTTTCTATTTAAAATGAACACGAGCGCATGGTCGAACGTACGTCATGCATCCTCTCTCGCCCACTTGTATTTCATGTCCATAAGTAAGAAAATAAACGCGATTCGAATACAGTTGTTCATATTTTTCATTACTATATGCACTGTATGTTATAACGATCGACGTTACATATCTTAACGGACGATACAAACGGGCTCGAAAATAATTTAGTCGAAATAACACGACAAAGATTCATTAATGAAAATGATAGAATTAGGTATGATTTTGTCCACCTGCATATATCACTGGAAAAAAGTTAATATGCTTAGGTGCATTTTCAGGTATGGCTCAAACTTTTGATAAAGAACCGATGTCTCCTTTTTAAAGTAAAAAAGTTTTTCCCCCTTACTACCTTTTATTTAAATCATACCTTGATCATAGACATTTCGCTATACGTTTAGGGTGGTCAGCTGTATCTAAAATAAATCTCAGCCACGATGGTGTTTCTCGGGTTGCTGTAGCAGTCCCACTCTTTTTGAACTTATCAACCCACTCAGATCAATCCACAATTAATCACACAATTACAGGTGATTTCGCAGTCGACAAAACCCAAAACAGCATCTAACTTTAACCGAACACAATTAAACCTATTGCAAACCTTATACAAGGAATGGGGAATCAAGATAAACGAATCAAAATCAATTCATTGCACATTCACAATAAAACCAAGAAACTCCCCTGCCATAAACCTCAATAATCTAGCCACAAAAAATATGCTATCTAGGTCTCTATCTGAACCGGCGACGACCTGGGCTCACCATGTCCATGTCAAATGAATTACTCTCAACAACCTATCCCGAAAGCAGCGATTCCTCCTAACTTCCATTAGTCTAAACAATAAACCTCTCCTTTGTAAACTCCTCTTGAAATCCACATGATCGAATGGTGTACAACTCTGGAGTTCAGTCAAACCTTCGAATTTAAACAAAATCTAAACGTTCCAATGCCACTATAAATTGCAAAAGTACCTTTCTTTGTTTCAAATGATACGCTCTAACCTCTTCATTCCAAGAGTAAAATAAATAGCTAAAACTCTCTATAAACACTGTTAACTAACTATTAACATCCCATGTGATTCCAGAAGGCGTTTGAAACGCAAATTATGCTGGAACCTTTAAAATGATAATAAATTATCCACTGCCATGAAGTTCTATCACTGGATGAATTCTTCAATTATGATCGCAATCCCACCACTATTCTTACATCAATTATGTTCATTATAAAAATTTATATTTACAGATTGTAAAAATAAATTTATAAATTCAATAATAACAATTTGTCTCACATACATTTAAATATACACCGAGGAAACCTAGCGCGCTTTCAAGATTTTTACCGAAAACGCGATACATGGTCTTATGATAATGTTTACTTTATAGATTACTGTTATCCATTCTTTTATTTTTACCCGACATTTACGATTTATTAATCGCGCGTATATATTTACAGAGGAGATTCGCAACACACATCATAAACGTGCCCCCGAATCGCAGCCGATATTATGATTTATGACCTGATCTTAATCGTTCTTACGTCGTTCTCGCGTCCACGCAGTAACCATTCGACGTTCGTATCACAGTCACTGAGCCGTGCGAAAATGCTTTGCTGCTTAATTTTTCATTCCTTATTTTGCTGTGCATAACGTGAAATTTTAATAACGCTGCTGAATAAAAAAAAATTGTCCATCACACGTGCACACGTTCTAATTTTCTAACCGTGCATATTCTTCCACCTGCTTGAACAACCATCGACAGTAGCAATTAATTTCATGTTCCTCGTTCACTGAGTTAACTGTTCGACATTGGCTTTCAAACACGGGTCTGGGAACGTGTGAGCACTGCGGTTAGTCATCAATGAAAACCATTCACTCAGGGTCTCGTCGATATTTTACCGATAATTTTTTTTACGTTTTTTGACCGCACGTTTTGTTTGCGTCGATACTTTCACATAAACTATTTTCTCTTCTGAGAAGTCTTTGACTTCTAAACACGTCACGGTTGTTCAACGGTTTGACGTTTTGTAGAACATTCTGGCGAGAGCATCTTAGTTTTGTTTTACTCGCGGAAATATTGTTTCGATGAACACATTGTTAATAATATTATGTTTTAGTGAAATAATAACGGCCCCTATAAATCGAATATAGTGCCCGCATTAATGGATGTTTTTTAGCCTTATTAACATACATTAGAATCGAGACTAGATCATTATAATATGCCCATATTAGGCCGCGATTATTAACCGGTGGCCACGTTAAGCTGAATTAACTGTAATTGAATGATAAATTTATTTATTTTTTCTTCAATGGATTATCGTGTACGTACAACTGCAATCGTATTTAACAAACGGTCGACATCAATATTAGTTTGTTAAAATGATTTTATAGTTTATAACATTATTTAATAGCTGCATTTTGTCATATCTTCTACACAACCCGATGTAACGTTTTGTCGGACTGTCAAACGGGGTTTTATTTTATTTTTATTTTTGTTGTTTGTTACCGATGTAAAACACGTTGCTATTCGATACCAACGATTATATTCTCATCAAATATTAATATTCTTCCGTATTGAAATATATCAATATGAAAACACACATGGTTTGACGCATCGACAGCGGTAAATCTCTAAAACGAATCCATCCATTAACTCGGTGATTATACTTTATCAGTCCGTTTGAACTCGAACAAACTTCAACTTCTATGTACGATAACGCATTCAAAAACAGCTTTTCAATTTATTCGTAAACCGTCGATTATGATCAGTAATTTTCGTGACGCGACCCGGGAAAAGTTTTCTACGGAATATTTCAAACGCAGGACAGAAGATCAATGAGTCGAGGATGTCCTCCTTATCTCCGTCAAAGCATTATTAAATTTACTCGAACAATTCAAATGAGTCGAACAAAATAATTTCGATAAGACTAGTAAACATTTTATTATTTGGTTATTTCGTACGCAATTGTTTAATTCTGTGTGAAGCATTATACGTAGTACGTGTTATCTTGTTGTTTTCGAGTTACAATTTTCGACAGGGTCACGAATACCTACCCAGAT